GCCCCTCTGCTACCTCCCTGCCACGCGCGGCCTCCCCCGCCATCAGTGTCCGCACCAGGTGGGGCGTCGGCCACCGCTGAGGAACCCGCACCGACAGGTCGTCACCCCGCAGAGCGCACGGCTCACGCCGGGGGCGGCAGCTCACTTTGCTTCAGCACTGAGTTCTTACCCTGAAGCCAGACAATCAGGCACGGATCCCACCTTTCCTGTAGGGACGGTATTTTGGAGTAACCAACTGGTCCACGATGGAAAACTCTTCCTTACAGGCCTGCTCCAGCTGACGGCATAATAGGAAAGATAGAATTAGAAATTGCCAGGGACTTCCCTGGCGGTCCAGTGGTTAGGACTCTGCGCTTCCACTGCAGAGGCCTGGGTTCCACCCCTGGTCGGGGAACTAAGATCCTGCATGCTGCGCGGCGCGGCCAAAAAAGAAAAGCAAAGTTATCGCCAATCTGCCGAGCCCGCTGGAGTACGGACCTACTGACTCACCAGGGATGCATGCGAAGCTGTGGGGTCAGAGGTCAAAGGCTGACAGGGACTCTGCAGTGGACGGGGCCAGATGGGGCCACCCCAATGCGGCCCCGCAGCCAGAAGAAAAGGGCAGAGTGCTTCTCAGGTCTCCATGCACACTAGTGGCCCAAGGCCCTGGCTGAAACGCAGGTTCTGATTCAGTGGGTCCGCGGAGGGGCCTGCACTTCTAACCAGCCCCAGATGAAGCCAATGTTGCAGACCCACACTCCACACTGCGTGGTGAGGGTCCAGCACCACGTATGGAGCGTGGTACCTCGGGGAGATGAGCCTGATTCAATCAAGCCTCAATCAGACTACCCGGTTACCGGAGCAGAGGAAGACATGGCCATTCAAGGACTCACCAGGTCAACCCAAAGTGTGGGTCTCCTACAGGACAAGTGACCTCATTTCCCTAACAAAGGGGAAGGGGACTTGAGACACGCCATCAACGGCAACGTGCAGACCTCGCTGGACACTGGCTGTAAAAAGATGTTTTCTGGACAACTGGAGAGGTGTGAACATAAACTGGAAATTAGTTACTAAGGAATTATTAGGTTTTGTTTTTATATTAGCTACAATAATGGCATTCTGTTTATGTAAAAGATTTACATGAAAAATATAATGTCTGAGGTTTGTTTTATAACACTCAAGCCCCAAAACCAACCAAAACACAAAACAAGTGAGGAGGGAGGACAAATGGTAAAAGTAATAGGTACAACAGGAGTCACTGGATTATCCTAATTTTATCCAAAATTTTCCTTTTAAAAATTTCATAAAACAAGCTTTAAAAACTACAGCACTGGGGCTTCCCTGGTGGCGCAGTGGTTGAGAGTCCGCCTGCCGATGCAGGGGGCCCGGGTTCGTGCCCCGGTCCGGGAAGCTCCC